TGTCTAGTGTTATGGCACCCGCATCAGCGCGTCAACTTGAACGGCTGTGGAGAGCAGGTAAGGCGGAACGATTTCATGTTATTCTCGTTCTCTGATAATGCGCTAACTCCATATAGCATGATATTATGACAACTCCCGTCGGAGCGACTGCCTACATCCATACCGAGTTCGAATCGCCGCGCGCGCCGCGTCACCCCCCCCCCCTGTATGCGTAACGTATTGGTCATTCATTAAGGCAACACAGGACATTTCATGTATCATTTTTGAGCTGACGCCTCACACTTGTCCGCTGTCTCTTTAGAGGAGTTACCTGGCGCCCAACAGGACTTATGAGCAAGAAAAAATAAAGGTAATTGTAGATATTTTCTATGATATAATCTTTGTAGTCATTTCATTGTCATTACAGTCAAATATTATATTTAGCCTAGTGTTATCAGGTTTCTGCTTAATTGATAATCATTGATTATACTACCTTCTTAGCTGCGCGAACTTTAAATAAAAGTCAGATCCTGATATCACAAGAGTGTCACCGAAAGTTAAGCAACTCTCAAGATATAAACAAGGAGAAGCTTAGGAGGCAAGAAAAGCATCAGGGACAGGGATAGGGGAACAAGGAGAAAAACATCAAAAACTCAGCCATTTAAATAGATGTACCGTGTTTGGATTCTCCTGGACAGTGTATCAACATCTTCGATTCCAGTTGAACTGTAGGAATATAATGGTTCGTGGAAGTTGCCGCAACGACCGACTATCGGAATTGGGCGCTATAGTTTTTGAAATAATGTGTATGTAGAAGAGTTATGTCTACTGTATAAAATCCACTTACCTATTGTTTTTGTTGCACTCACTTGAAACCAAAAGTTGGCAAATTTACAATGAAACCTTGAGACAAAAGAAAGGACACAGCGGATCTACATTTTCATTGGAGAGACGGAAAGAACCAACAGAGCCTCTTACATAAAAGCTCTCATATTCTGAAAATGAATGGTCCAGATGCAACATTTTTATGATTCGAAAGCCATACACTGGAAGTGTCCGCCGAGAAGCGTCTGACGCCATTAAATAAACCTACAAAAGCTTTTAGTGTCTGAGGAAATCTTCTTCCCCTCCACCATAACTGGATGTGTATTTGCCAGTTAATTGAAACACACCATTTTTGCCTTAAATTATCAATTTAATCTTTGGTAGGAGTTGCACAGAAAGCTGCCCAAATGCAAGAGGTTGATCAGGATGATGCATGACGGATGCACCTCTTCTCTTCCCCCCCTGGGCAGTAATTTCCTTCTATCAGCAATAACGCACTGTCCAGGCAAACCCTGAATAACTTACTTGTATACTTTATATGCTCATAAGTGTAGCAAATAATCGGGCACGAGGAACATGGCCTTCCATCTCCATCTACGCAGCTTCGTGCTAGATACTGATCCCTTGCAACATCACATGAACATTTTCAAACTTGAAGTAGATGTCCGAGTTCAAATTTCAGATATTTTAAAGAGTGGAAATATGTCCTTTTGGCTCTTGGCTTTATTATGGCCTATAATAGAATACAGTCATCTATAGATGCGAACATCTTCAAATCTATCATTCTGCTGGCAATCTTTCCCTCCCTTCAACATAATGGAGAGAAGAACACAATGAGAGGGAAAAGGGATTAACATGGGTCTAGACAGGCGGATAAAAAAAACATGAGATGTTGAGAAGGAAAAAAGATACTGTGACTACGCTTATAGTCACGCCTGATGAACAAATGTGGGAAGATCTCACGAACATTATCTTTATTTAATATTAATCTCACTTTATGACTATCTTAATACTATTAAGTCTTTTTCTTATCCTCTCCTTTGTGGCAACCACACACTTCAGGTATACATTTGTAGGTGTGGGCACTGATGTGTGGCACCGCACCATCACCGCACATGAAGCATAGACCATTGGGGCACAGAATCGCACCAGAAACCATAGGCCAGCATTGCATGGTTAGTGCCAGTGTGTGTAATGCACGTATATGGTATATGCATCATGTCGCTGCTCTCGCTTTAGGCTTATAGTTCGAACAAAGTGGAGAGTGATAAACCCCATTATGGTCTCAAGTGACATAAAACAGCCGCCGCACACACACCATAAAGAGCGTATAACTTTACATCATCTGAATAGCATGGAACATGTATCACCGCAACCCGACATTTCTGTAGAATTCTAAATCTCCAGTTGTCTGCTAGAGGTCATATAGTTTATTTTCTTTGGTTTTTTTGCCTCCGTAAATCAGCGTTGTTATGGTTTTTTGGTTACTTCCTGAAGTCGAAGCATGTTAGTTTCACTTCATCGTATCATTGTTTTATAGATCATCACATCGCACAGTGCTATCAAGACGTGAAAACTAATGAAAATCTACTTCTTAGAACAGTTTAAACAGCATGAGAAATATTTCTACATTTCAAAGATACTCACGGTGTTTCAGATATAGTTTAGAAGGCCTTTTTTTATTTCTATGCTGTTGAGCTACTATGGCTTCTTTTATCTAATTCCTATGCCATATTTACTGAATGAGGCCACCATCTCTCACGCTCCGTGCAGTTGGCATTCGCTTGCTTTGCAAGGTCAAATGAAGTACTCTCCGGAGCTCTCATTTTGAAAGGTTCCTAACTTCCTATTTATACTTTGTCCCACCTCAGCTCTTTAAGCTCCCCCACCCTGCGGCGCCCACCCCGAAAAAAAAAACACACCGCCGCTACGACCATCACACTCCTCCAAACAAAAAACAAACCAAGCAGGCCCTGGTTGTCTTTGGAATATAGTCAGCCTTACCTTGTTATGTATTTGACGCCTCGTGTTTTCCTTCTAACGTTTACAAACCTCCGTGCAGATACTTGGAGAAGTAATGCTATCTCCGGCAGGTGAGTTCACACCCCACCAACAGGGCTGCTCAAACCGATGTCATCCATTGAGCTTTTGGGATAAGCTCTTCGATCCGACCTGTGCATAGGCCATATGTTCATTAGCTATAATCTATGTTTAATAGTAATGAAAGTGTGGGTTGAATCCCTATGGATTCGGTTGACCACTCACCCTCCCTACCTAACCTTTCTACGTATGGTCCCTAACACAACGTCTGGCTTCCTGTGGTACATAGATTAATCAGCTAGTCTTTCATCACTCACACTAAAATTGGTTGAATCCTATTTATTTAGTTGACAGCACTTACCTAACATTGCTTGCTTTGTCCCATGAAGTTTGTTCTGTATACCATTTTTTTCACGATGGAATTCATGATTTTGAGCAGAATATTTTGTTCGCTATGGTCATTTTCTTCATTTGGACCTCTTCATCTGACTTAAATCACCATATATCCGAATGTTCTCTGAAGGCAACCTTTACAAGCATTGTATCACACATTTTTTGCTTATCTACGCTGCAAACTAAGAATTCCACAACTGGCTAAGGATATGAGGATTTGATCGAAAATTAAACGAGCTGCTGGGATCCTAGCTGCAAAAGATGAGTGAACCGGTCACTTTTCGTCCCTTCAAATATTTTCTTCTTCTTACTCATACCATACGACGTTTCCGTTAATGTGTTTGCGTATCACGGTTTTGGCTTGTTTCTACTTCAAGCCAGAAGCAGAAACCGAGAGAAGAAATCAACAGCACCAAGTGAAAAGGACCAGCTTGCTGAGATGCAAGGCGAACCAGCATTAAGCACATGCCATCTATTATTAACTGAAAAATTTTAGGTATGCTTTGCGGCCATATTACAACAATATGTTATTTTAATAAGGGAAAATACAACTGTTTGAATTTTTTTGTTAACCTACTCAATGTGCAACGTTAGATACCCTAAATGTCAAGTTAAGAAAGTCAATTCCGATTCAATTAGTGGCCCCCGACGTAACCCCGTCTTATTTAGGGACTAGCAGTGGAGTATACATAATCAAATTTAACGAGCTATACAACTTATATATTCTGGTCTGTAAGATTTCCCTGGCTGATCAATCTGACCATCACCTGTCTTCGACGGTCCTTCAATAAAAAGAAACTTGTAGATGCGTTTCCCACCTAGGTTTTGGGAGCGTCTAAGGGAGCGTGGTCTGCTTACATGAACTGCACCCTTTAGGCATTAATCATGATTTCCTCCATTGCGGCCTACACATCCTTTAACCTCCAAACTTCAACTATGAACATCGCCTCTACCTCTCCTGACCTTCAACGGAACATCCTCCACCACCACTTAATAAATCTACCTAGGTGTCAGTCCAGCGCGTAAGCTTTCTATAATATTGACATTTACTATCATTAATTATAATTAAAAACTAAGGAAATAGGAAAACACCTAGGCTCTAGGCATCGGGTCCAACGCCTAGGCCGCCTAGCGCTTTCTATAACCTTGATTCTAAGTAGAGGGAAACCAAACTTATAGTGTAATTAAGGTTTTAAATGTCGGCCGATATGTCCGACATGTCGTCCAACATATCGGTTTGAGGACTTGACCGACACGACATGGATGTTTTCAACTCGTATGTCGGTTTTCAGGGCCAAATCGGAAATATTAGGGTCATATCGGGCATATCAGCCTATTTTTTAGCTTTGAAAAATCGACCGATATGGTACTTTTTTTAAGATCTATTTTTTGTTATCGGGTTTGGGTTTAGTGATAAATACCCAAACCCGCTTGACCCGTTCTCATGTTTAAGGGTTTCTTTATGAACCTAATAAAAATAATTTATGAACCCAAATCCATATATTATTTACTTTTTTATATATTTAGTCTATAGAATTTATAAATTATGCTTATATTGAATTTATGAATGCTTAGATTACATTTAGGACATGATATTATACATATGCGTACTACCCGATATAACAATCCGATATTTAGTCAATGTCCCCCGATATATCCCCAATTTCCGCTATCCGACATTGATTTCAGCCATCCGACATAAACCCGACATCCGACATTTAAAACCTTGAGTGTAATTGAATAGATGTTTTTCATGTGTGCAGGCTAACTTGCATATATTCTTCCTGCAAGGTAGAAGAAAATCATGTTTCTGCTGAGGAACTTGGTGGAATTCAGCAGGATCATCAATAATTCTTAATAATGAGATGATTGTTCTCCAGGTATTGACATGTTTCTATGTTATTTTCATCTGTCACTTAATTCCAGGTTATATTAGTTTTGTAATATCTGCAGAATTTGGGATTTGATCTTATTGTTTATGCACCATACCGGTCAATTGAAGGCTTTGTTGAGGATATGCAGGTAAGAAATTTCATGTTTTCTGTTTCTGATATGCAAACTTATACAATATTTGACAAATCCTCAGGTGCTACATATAGTTCATGCCCCTCTCCCTGTATTCTGTAGTATTTCATATTAGTGCAACATCTATTGGCTTTCATATTATGTATATTTTTTTGACTGACTAATTTTCTTTTTCTGTTTTTAAGGAGTTCTGCCAAGCAAGGGACAATGAGCAAGAAAAATTAAAGGTAATTGTAGATATTTTTCTTGATATAATCTTTGTAGTCATTTATTGTCAATTACAGCAAATATTATATTTACCTAGTTGTTATCAAGGTTTTTGATTAATTGATAATCATTGATTATATACCTTCTAGTGCGCGAACTTTAATAAAAGTCAGATCTGATATCACAAGAGTGTTCACAAAGTTAAGAACTTAAGATATAAAAAGGAGAAGCTTAGGCAGGAGAAAAGCAATCAAGGGAAGGGATAGGGGAAAAGGAGGAAAAACATCAAAACTCAGCCATTTTAAATAGATGTACTTGTTTGGATTCTCTGGACAGTGTATCAACCATCTTATCAGTTGAAACTTAGGAATTAATGGTTGTGGAAGTTCCAAGAACCGACTATGGGAATTGCCTATGTTTTGAATATGTGTATGTAGAAGAGTTTATGTCTATGTATAAAATCCACTTACCTATTGGTTTGTTGCATCACTTAAACAAAAGTTGGAAATTTAAATGAAACTTGACACAGTGGATTAATTTTCATTGGAGAACGGAAAGAACCAAAGAGCCTTTACATAAAAGCTTCTATTCTGAAAATGAAATGGTCCAGGCAACATTTTTATGATTCGGAAAGCATCACTGGAGTGTCCCGAGAAGCGTCTGACCCATTAAAAAACCTAAAAACTTTTAAGTGTCTGAGGAAATCTTCTTCCCCCATAACTGATGTGTATTTGCCAGTAATTGAAACATTTTTTGCCTTAAAATTATTCAATTATCTTTGTAGGAGTTGCAAGAAGCTGCCAAATCAGAGGTTGATAGGATGATGCTGACGGATGCACCTCTTCTCTTCCTAGGAGTTGCAAGAAGCTGCCAAATCAGAGGTTGATAGGATGATGCTGACGGATGCACCTCTTCTCTTCCCCCCTGGGCAGGTAATTTCCTTCTATAGAGGTTGATAGGATGATGCTGACGGATGCACCTCTTCTCTTCCCCCCTGGGCAGGTAATTTCCTTCTATCAGCAATACGCCTGTCAGCAAACCTGAATAACTTACTTGTATATTTATATGCTCTTAAGTGTAGCAAATATCGGGCACAGGAACATGCTTCATCATCTAGCAGCTCGTCTAGATACTGATCACTGCAACATCACATGAATTTTCAAACTTGAAGTAGATTCGAGTTCAAATTTCAGATATTTAAGAAGTGGAAATATGTCTTTTGGCTCTTGGCTTTATCTATGGCTTATAATAGAATACAATCATCTATATCGAATCTTCAAATCTATCATTCTGGCAATTTTCTCCTTCAACATAATGAGAGAAGAACACAATGAGATGGGAAAAGGGATTAACATGAGGTGCTAGAAGGCGGATAAAAAAAACATGAGATGTGAGAAGGAAAAGATACATGACTACCTTATTAGTCAAGCCGATGAAAATGTGGGAAGATCTCACGAACATTATCCTTTATCTTAATATTAATCTCACTTTATGACTATCTTATACCATTAGTTTTTTCTTTATCTCTCCTTGTGCAACCACACATTCAGATATACATTTGTAGGTGTGCACTGATGTGTGCACGCACATGCACATGAACATAGACATTGGGGCACAAATGCACACACAGAAACATAGGCACATTGCATGGTTGTGCGTGTGTGTAATGCACGTATATGTATATGCATCATGTCTCTGCTTCCTTTAGGCTTATAGTTCGGAACAAGTGGAGAAGTGATAAACCATTATGGTCTCAAGTGACATAAAACACGAAAGAGTATAACTTTATCAATCATCTGAATATGCATGGAACATGTATCACCAACCATTTCTGTAGATTCTAAATCTCATTGTCTGCTAGAGTCATTAGTTTATTTTCTTTTTTTTTTCTCTTAAATCAGCTTGTTATGGTTTTTTGGTTCTTCCTGAAGTGAACATTTAGTTTCACTTCATCGTATCATTGTTTTATAGATCAATCACATGCAAAGTGTATCAGTGAAAATAATAAATCATCTTCTTGACAGTTTAAACAGATGAGAAATATTTCTAGCATTTCAATACTCACTGGTGTTTCAGTATAGTTTAGGAAGGCTTTTTTATTTCTATGTGTTGACTACTATGCTTCTTTTATTACTTCCTATGCATATTTATAATGAGGGCCACCATCTCTCACTCCGTGCAGTTGGCATTGGCTGCTTTGCACAGGTCAAATGAAGTACTCGGAGCTCTCAATTTTGAAAGGTTCCTAACTTCCTATTTATACATTT